TCTCGTCCTTTAACCTATTACCGCCCAAGCGACCAAAATATGATACGTATTTGCCATAAAGAAAGTTTTCGTTTCTGCTACATTGCAATAGTCATTTTAGGGGTAAAATTGGCTGATCTACACGATTTTTTAATTAGGTTTCTCCTGCAATCCTCCAAAAATTTGCTATCGGCAGTTGAATCTCAAAAAACAAGAAAATCGTGACCAAAACGTAACACCTCGAAGCCAAATTTTTTTGATTTTGCTCAAACTAACATGATTACATTTCATGAGATATACACCTGAAATATAATTTGAGATACCATTACATGTAGATATACAACACGAAATGATTAGGGTAGTAGGGGAGGATTGGAAGGATTGATAAAGGATGAGACATCGATATAACAGAAAGTCATTGTTTTTTATTACAATCCATCAAAAAAGGAATGTTTCTGTACTTTTTATCTACCGAAATTAAATTTGTCATCCTCCAAAATTTCCTTTTTGATAGATTGTAATAAAAAACAACGACTTTCTGTTATATCGATTTCTCATCCCTTATCAACTCTTCCAACCCCCCCTACTACAATAATCATTTCGTGTTGTATATCTACGAGGTCTGTCCGGAAAGTATCGGGCCTACGTTTATATCTTCGCGCCAGAGTGTTCGAGCGACCTCTACCAGACAGAAACGTCAACAGTAAAGCCTCACGAATCTATTGGTTACTTACTGACACCTGCCGGACATGCGAGCGTGGTCCGATAAGTACTTAGCCTCACCGCCCGATAGCGCCACTCTCGCAAAAGAAATATTATATCACGTAGTACAACTTTCTCGATGGTTACTGTCAAGATTTCAGCCGGATCCGAGTTGTAGTTTATTTTTGAGAGCGTGTGAAAGCAAGTGTGTCCGTTGATTTTTGAAAAATAGAAAAAGAGCAGTATCAGTCGGTGATTCGATTCTTGTTTTTGGAAGGGAAATCGCGAAGCGAAATCAAAAAGCGCTTGGATGCTGTGTACGGTGACTCTTCTCCTTCGATGGCGACTGTCAAAAATTGGTTTAACGAGTTTCAACGTGGTCGCACGTCGATTTTTGAAGAGCCACGTCCAGGTGCTCCGAAAACGGCTACCACGGAGGATAACGTGACAAAAATTCACGATCTCGTATTGGTAGATCGACGATTGAAGGTGCGCGAGGTAGCTAAGATCGTAGGTATCTCAAAAGACCGCGTGGGGCATGTCCTGCATGACATTTTGGGCATGAGAAAGCTGTCGGCGCGATGGGTGCCGCGTTTGCTCACTCCGGACAACAAGCGCAATCGTGAGACAACTTCAGAGCAATGTCTGACGCTGTTTAAGCGCAATCCGAAGGAGTTTCTGCGTCGTTTCGTGACAGTCGACGAAACATGGATCCATTGGTATATCGCACACCAGAGACCAAGGAACAGTCGAAACAGTGGACTTTACTCGGCGAAAGTGCTCCGAAGAACGCGAAGACTACCCCATCGGCCGGAAAGGTGATGGCCACCGTTTTCTGGGATTCACAAGATGTGATCTACATCGACTACCTGGAGAGTGGAAAACGGTCACAGGGCTGTACTATGCCGAATTATTGGGCCAATTTGACGTCGAATTGCAGAAAAAACGGCCAAATTTGGCGAAGAAAAAAGTGCTCTTCCACCATGACAACGCACCGGCTCACACCTCGGCTGTCGCCATGGCCAAATTAGTCGAATTAGGCTACGAACTGCTGCCCCATCCACCGTATTCTCCAGATTTAGACCCGTGCGACTTCTTTTTGTTTCCAAACTTGAAAAAGTCACTCGCCGGGCAGAAATTTGAGTCGAATGAGGAGGTAATCGCTGCCACGGAAGCCAACTTTTCAGACCTCGAGGAAACGTATTTTTCAGATGGGTTAAAGAAGTTGGAGCATAGATGAGCCAAGTGTGTCGAACTAAAAGGAGACTATGTTGAAAAATAAAACGCCACTTTTCCAAAATTTTCGTTTTTCTTTTATAAGTACTTATTGGATCACCCTCGTATAGTGCATGCGCAGCGTGTCTTTGTTTACAGTTCCTTTTTCGGGTTCGTGGGATTTTGATATTGTCAAAAATGACTGAAAAACAAGATCAACGAATTTTCATCAAATTTTGCTTTCAACTCGGAAAAATGAGTTCGGAAACTAATGAAATGATGCAAAAGGCCTTCGGAAGCGAGTGTATGAGTAAAACACAAATCAAAGAGTGGTATAAACGGTTCAAGGATGGTCGCACTTCTGTCGATAGTGATTCTCGTTCCGACCGACCTTCGACGACAAAAACAGCAGATAATATTGAGCGGGTGCGACTTGCAATCGAACAAGATCGCCATATGACTGTGCGAGAACTAGAAGAAGAGTTTGGGATACCAAAAACTATCATTTCAGAAACTGTAACCGAAAATTTAGGAATGAAACGCGTGTGTGCGAAATTCATCGCAAATTTGCTCACAGCAGAGCAGAAGAAAGTTCGCTTAAAAATCGCTCTGGATAATCTGGAAATGGTCAATAATGCTGATAATGTGCTTAGAAAAGTTATTACAGGTGATGAATCATGGATTTATGGTTATGATCCGGAAACAAAACAACAATCTTCACAGTGGAAGCATTCTGAATCGCCAAGACCAAAAAAAGTAAGTCAAAGTCGGAGCAATGTTAAGTTCATGTTGATTGTTTTTTTGGATTGTGAAGGTGTTGTACGTTACGAATATGCACCAACAGGTCAGACAGTCAATAAAGAATACTACGTTCAAATTTTGAAACGTTTGCGTGATGCAGTAAGAAGAAAACGGCCGCACTTTTGGGAAAGTGGCGACTGGCTTCTCCATCACGATAATGCGCCAGTGCATTGATCCAATCTTGTGCAGCAGTTTTTGAGCAAACACAATATCGCATTGCTTCGACAACCTCCATACAGTCCCGACATATTCCCTTGTGACTTTTGGCTGTTTCCAAAACTAAAAAAACCACTCAAAGGACACCGATTCGATGACAAAACAACGATTGAAAACAATGCGACGAGTGTACTTTAGGCTATCCCTAAAAGTGAGTTCCAGGACTGTTTGGAAAAGTGGATACATCGATGGAACTGTGTTATTCAATCAAGTGGGGATTACTTTGAAGGATGCCACCCACCAGATGATAAAAAATAACGCTAGCACGAAAATATAAAGGTAGGCCCGATACTTTCCGGACAGACATCGTATATGTAATGGTATCTCAAATTACGAGGTGTGTTCAAAAAGTACCCGGAATTATTGTTTTTCCAAAAAAATATTTATTTATTCGTTTACATCAATGTGGTCCCTTTCAAAGTAATCCCCCCCCCCCCCAGATATAATACACTTATGCCAGTGTTTTTTCCAATCTTCGAAGCACTCTTGATATTCACTTTTTGGTATGTCCTTGAGCACTCTTAGTGATTCGGCCTTTATTTCATCAATCGAGGAAAAACGTCGTCCTTTCATGGGTCTCTTCAACTTTGGGAACAGGAAAAAGTTACACGGAGCCATATCCGGTGAATATGGAGGTTGGGGCACGACTACGGTATTGTTTTTGGCCAAAAAATTACGAACAAGCAACTACGAGTGAGCAGGTGCGTTATCGTGATGCAAAAGCCATGAATTGTTTTTCCATAAATCGGGGCGTTTTTTTTGGATTGCTTCACGCAAACGTCACATAACTTCAAGGTAATACTCCTTATTAACCGTACGAGCTTCTGATAAGAACTCATGATGCACCACGCCCCTGCAGTCAAAGGAAACTGTAAGCAAAACCTTCACATTTGATCGAACTTGACGTGCTTTTTTCGCTCTTGGTGACGTTGAATACTTCCAGGTAGACGATTGTGCTTTGGTTTCGACATCATAACCGTACACCCATGTTTCATCACCAGTTATGACCCTTTCAAGCAAACTTGGATCGTCATTGACGTCGTTTAACAGCTCCTAAGCGATGTTCATGCGACGGTTCTTTTGGTCAAAATTTAGCAATTTCGGAACAAACTTCGCTGACACACGTCTCATGTCCAAAACGTTAGAAAAAATTTCATGGCATGAGCCAATTGATATGCCAACTTCATCAGCAACTTCTCTAATTGTGATTCGGCGCTCATTCAGAACCATTTTTTCCACTTTTTTCACATTTTCATCGATTGTTGACGTGCTGGGTCGACCGGAACGTTCGTCATCTTCAACGTCTCCGCGGCCATCTTGGAAACGCTTATACCACTCGTAAACACTTGTTTTTTTCATAGCAGACTCACCATAGGCTTTTTGTAACATTTCACATACTTTGTTACACTTTCTTTCATTTTTTACGCAAAATTTAATACAAATTCTTTGATACATTTCTTTTAAAAAGCGAAAATCGCCGAGCTCATAAAAACAGGTCAAACCTTAGCGACTACCGCAGACAAAGTAAACTGTGAATATAGCTGAAAATTTTATCATACTTCAGGGGCATGTATACCAACACAATAAAAAAAAATTTTGACAATCGGACTCTCCAGACCCGCGAAATTTAAAAATTCCGGGTATTTTTTGAACACACCTCGTATATTTCAGGTGTATATCTCATAAAAAGAAATTATGTTAGTTTAAGCAAAATTAAAAAAATTTGGTTTCGAGGCCTTCGTGTCACGTTTTGGTCGCGATTTTCTTGTGTTTTGAGATTCAATCCCCGATAGCGAATTTTCTGAGAGTTGCAGGAGGAACCTAATAAAAAAATAGTGTAGATCAGTCAATTTTATCTCTAAAATAACTCTTGCAATGTAGCAAAAACGAAAACTTTCGTTCTGGGAAATGCGTGTCACGTTTTGGTCGCTTGGGCGTTAATGGATTAAAGGTTATACCTCTCTGTGTCAGTAGCTTAGAATCGAAGGAAAAGGGTAAAACAGCCGTCGTACAGTTATTATGGTTATTTTTATTTCTTATAGAAATGTAATGCAATATTCTATTAACCACTAAATATAAAAAAATACCTGATATAACGGGTTTTTGTAACGTAAGAGATGTTGCTTCTTTTAATTTGTTATTCAATTCTTCTATCTTTTTGATACATTCTTGTTCTGATTGACGGGAATTATCGAGATCTGTTTTTATTTGTTGATTATGTTTTGTTTCTTCTAACAGTCGTTCTTTAGAAATATTAATTTGACGCTCTAAGTTTGTAGACAATTCTCGAAACCGATCTTGCTCTTCTTGTAAACGTCTTCTCAGGGCAGCGCATTCACGTGTTGCATCATCTAAACGTTGTTCAGTTCGCAACTGTTGCTCTGCCTGTACACGTTCTAAACTGGTTTTTATAACTTCAACATCAGCTTTTAAAAGAGCATGAGTATGTCTTTCTCTTTGTAAAACTTCTCTCTCTTTCAATAAACGACCTTCAGAATCTCGCAATAGTTGTCTTTCTTGTTTTAAGTTCTCCACCTGAACTTCTGCTTTTGAAAGACGGCTTTGAGCTGAGAGGGCTTCATCTTTCAAAATCATTAAACTTTGTTCATGTTTTCCTGAAAAATATAATAAAAATACAAATAGTACTAAATATATTAGTTATTTATAAATATATTTATGACATTTACAAAAAAAGGCATAATTTAAATGAAAATATTTTTGAGATATAGCCGTTCCAGAATGTTATGTATAGCTTTTTACTGATCTTATCTAACCTCTCAAAGCAACTTCAATTCAAATTGGCATTGGCTAATTATAACTTTTTTGTAAGAAAAGTTCACAAAATGAAAGAATGATAGAATATTTAAAAATGGATCATGAATTATTATAATTTCTATGAATTTCTATTAAGTTTAGAGTAATATTGTTAGAAAACTAGAAATTTATAAATATGTGGATGTGTAGCGTTCAGTAAACAACGAAATGAACGTATCTCATAATTCTCGTAAATCGAGCTTATGTTTTTTTTTCCAAACAACAAAAACACTACAAATCATAGTTACTCACCAATTGTCAAATTGTAGCTATTACATTTATCTTCTAGAATCTTTATTTGTGATTTATATGTAGCTACGTTTCCTTGTAAAAGACTAAAACGTTCATTTGCAGAATCTAATTGAACCTTTAAGCGACAACAACGAGTAGAATTATTTTCAGCTTCCTTTCTTAATCGTTCAATTTCATTGTTAAGCATCTTTTCGTGAGCGGCTTTTTCATTTTTATATGTTTCAAAATCATTGTTCAGCTGCTTGAATTGATTTTCAAAAACTTGTGATTTTTTATCATAAAATGAAGTTTTATCAGTTGTTTCAGTAGTATTCATTGAATTTTCATTTTCCATTTCCTCTTGATTGTTGCACAATTTTTTTGATATTAGCTTATCTTCGTTATTGATTAATGGACGTTGATCAACACATTGTTGATACATTTTTTTATACATATCACGCTGTTTAAGTATCCCTTCTAACATTTTAGCCTGCCGGTTTTGAGCCGCTTGCATTTCATTCAGTTGTTCTATATATCTGAAAAAGAAAATATTGAGGTATCACTTAAATTGATTGTTTATGGACATAAATATTTTTAATCATTATTTAATAAAACGTAATATTAATGGCTTAAAATATTAGTGTCATATAGTGTGATTTGCGCAATGATTTCATTTCTTAATACAATACATAAATAAACTTTTACTGATAATATTAAAAATCTAAATTACATCAAATATCTATATCATTTGGAATGCCATACGGAAAGATATTATTCATGAACAATATATACTATAATATATTGTAACGGGGTGTGAATCCGTTTTAATTTCTTTGTCTCGCCCGATGCACAGTCGTACCGGAATGCGCGCGGCGAGATCGAAATAATCAATCTTGTTAACTAACCGGAGAGAAGGAGAGGACGAGTGTCAGTCAACCAACTTACTAACAGCAAAGATAACAACAGATTAACGTTTCAATCATCCACAGATTAGTTAATTCAACATGTAATCTACAACGCACTTGGCCCGTGCACTTAAGCTTATACAATGCGCGCGACAATCTTACATACCGTCATTTCGCTTAAAATCAATCGTTTACGATATTCGTTTGCATGCTCGTTCGCTACCGATTTTCCTGTTTTAGTCGGTATGAGGGGAGAGCTAAGATGTTACGCGCGGTCGCTTATCGAAACAATAACGCGAAGCTGGCCAGCTTACCTTATGCGATTAGTTGCACTGTCAGGGGGAGCACTTCAATGTCGTCTTTTAGCATGTAGCTCAGGTTGCCACTTTTCCGCTTAAACACGAAGCTCTCTCTGTCGTCGTGCTGTTTCTGTCGAACAGATTCAGCAACCTCGTGGCTGGCCTCCCATGGCGTCTCAGCTAGCCACTCGAACTCGCAGCAACAACAAAGAACGATCAGCCGTTTCACGTTCACGCTCCTTGTGGTATTCACACGCACGCACGACGTTGCTGATGCTAAAGGCACTCCTAGGTTCGGGCACGCTATTCACGACTTTTGGGTAGCTGCACAACTCTGATGTTAGTATTCCCGGACTCCTGCACCCTGTTGCCGGTCTCAAAGCCGCTTCCCCACTGGTCCTTTTCTCTTCGCGCGTGTTCCTTCCCATTTCGGACCGAGTTCCCATTTTCGACTTACCCGAGCTAGTAGATGCCGCCCTCGCAGATCGCCACGCGATCGAGACGGTAGCGCAAACCGGATGTTTACCATCACAATATATAATATAATATATACAATAGTTATATTGAAATATTATAAATATATTAAAAACACAATCAGAATATCAAAGTGGTAAAACTAGAAAAGTTTCCTATGATTACGTTATGCATTCTTTTTAATACAAATAATATACATTTTGCTGATGGCAAAAATAGTAACATTATTCAAACTTAATACGACGTCTGTTCGGAAAGTATCGGGCCTACCTCTATATTTTCGTGCTAGCGTTATTCTTTATCATCTAGTGGGTGGTATCTTTCAAAGTAATACCCACTTGATTGAATAACACGGTTCCATCGATATTTCCACTTTTCAAAACAGTCCTGCAACTCACTTTTACGGATAGCCTTAAGTATACTCGTCGCATTCTTTTCAATCGTTGTTTTGTCATCGAATCGGTGTCCTTTGAGTGGTTTTTTTAGTTTTGGAAACAGCCAAAAGTCACAAGGGAATATGTCGGGACTGTATGGAGGTTGTTGAAGCGATGCGATATTGTGTTTGCTCAAAAACTGCTGTACAAGATTGGATCAATGCGCTGGCGCATTATCGTGATGGAGAAGCCAGTCGCCACTTTCCCAAAAGTGCGGCCGTTTTCTTCTTACTGCATCACGCAAACGTTTCAAAATTTGAACGTAGTATTCTTTATTGACTGTCTGACCTGTTGGTGCATATTCGTAACGTACAACACCTTCACAATCCAAAAAAAACAATCAACATGAACTTAACATTGCTCCGACTTTGACGTGCTTTTTTTGGTCTTGGCGATTCAGAATGCTTCCACTGTGAAGATTGTTTTTTGTTTCAGGATCATAACCATAAACCCATGATTCATCACCTGTAATAACTTTTCTAAGCACATTATCAGCATTATTGACCATTTCCAGATTGTCCAGAGCGATTTTTAAGCGAATGTTCTTCTGCTCTGCTGTGAGCAAATTTGCGATGAATTTCGCACACACGCGTTTCATTCCTAAATTTTCGGTTACAATTTCTGAAATGATAGTTTTTGGTATCCCAAGGTCTTCTTCTAGTTCTCGCACAGTCATACGACGATCTTGTTCGATGGCAAGTCGCACCCGCTCAATATTATCTGCGGTTTTTATCGTCGAAGGTCGGCCGGAACGAGAATCACTATCGACAGAATTGCGACCATCCTTGAACCGTTTATACCACTCTTTTATTCGTGTTTTGCTCATACACTCGCTTCCGAAGGCCTTTTGCATCATTTCAATAGTTTCCGAACTCGATTTTCGGAGTTGAAAGTAAAATTTGATGCAAATTCGTTGATCTTGTTTTTCAGTCATTTTTGACAATATCAAAATCCGACGAACGCGAAAAAGGCACTGTAAAGAAAGACACGCTGCGCATGAACTATACGTCCGGCAGATGTCAGTAAGTAACCAATAGATTCGTGAGACTTTACTGTTGACGTTTCTGTCCGGTAAAGGTCGTTCGAACACTATGGCGCGAAGATATAAACGTAGACCCGATACTTTCCGGACAGACCTCGTAGTTTAAAGATATGATTTAAGTGTTGTGACGGTAATCGTCAAGTTAGCGCTAGTCACTTAACCTTATTGTTGTCCGTGAGGGCAGCACCTCCCGGGGGGGACAAAAACATGTAACGAAGGAATTCGGCACGCGAGCAGACGGAACGCGCGCGACAAGATTCGAACTAGTGGAGCCGAGACCATCCGAGAGTCCGCCCGCTATCGCTGTTATCGCCGCCAATTACCGTGCCCTTGCCACCCACACACTTTGAAAACAGCCGAGATTAGCGAATCCAGGAGTGCTGCCGTCAAGGAGCCAACAAGCATCTGTCGGAGGCCACTGCGAGGAAGAGAGAAAGTGTGAGAGGTTTCGCCATCGAAAGCGAAACCAGTGCGTGTGCGCGCCCGCGACTCGCGAACACTATAAACAACAATAAAACTGTTACGTGCTGTGCGTAGTGTTCGTTGTTCTCTTCGATCGTCTGCGAGTAAAAGGTAAGCTGGCCAGCTTAATTACGCGATCGGAATTGCATGTCGGGTAAATAATTTTCAGTATTCGATACGTGTATGTAAGGCTCTAATGTCAGAGAGCGGCGAGCGTACCGGCAAAGCATGTTGCCGATGAGCGAGCGTGCGTGTAAACAAACGCGCGGGCCGACTCCGTGTGAACTTTGAGGAACAATAAAAGATCCGATTCATACTATTAACAAGTGTTTTCGTTTATTCTCTCGATTCACATAGCTTCCACTCAATTTAATTTAGGTTATAGACGATAATCGGTTGACCGGCGTATGCTTTCTCGTGCTCTCCCGGATAAGCAGTGAGCATTAACGATTCACGCGTGTCCCTTTAGTATAATCACGCGAAATATTTATTAAACGGTTTAACCCCGTTACATGGCGCCCAACGTTAAAGAACCTACGGTGTTTTTGATTGTGCAAAACACCGGTTCTTTATATTAACCTCGCGCTCGGTCAACCAATAGCTCAGGTGGCAGTCAAGTGTTGTTGTGCGCACTCGACACCGAAAGCCACAAGTGTAAACAATACCTGTTAGCTAGCTTGCGAAGGCCCGCCGCGGCGAAAATTTGTAAACAAACCTGTGAACGCGTGCGAGTGCGACCGAAAGATTCTCGAGCGTAAACACCAACGAATTTTGAAAGTTGCCGTAAATAATATTATACCCGTTGGCCCGGGGAAAACTAACAACGGCAATTTTCAAACGGAATTAATTTAATCGAATAATTTTATTTGTCATTGTCGTAACATAAAAGTTTTTTTTTAATATTATTAAAAGCGGTTATTGGTGTTTACGCACAACGCTCATTGCAACATTTTAGATACTAACTCACACAGCCGTGCTAACAAACAGTTAGTACGTCTGATAGGTAGGATCGTTAAATTGCGTATTTACGAGCAAAGAATCTTTCGGCAATTAATTCATTAAGCGCCCTTGATCAAGCCCAGTGTTGGCAAATAAAAATTTTTTTTATTTTTCAATTCGGCGCACGAATTTTAATATAACACTCGCACGCGCGTATAATACCTGTATTTTTTTTACAAACAAATCCAACGCGAGTAACCTAACAGAAAATCATGGACCGCACTCAAAGTGAAATAGAAAATTGGGTGTTGACGCTCCAGGAGGAGGAAATCGAAGAGTACCTCGAACACCTGGAGCTCAAAACTGGCGGAACCAAGCTCTCGAGAGCTGCACGTTTACAAAGCTGGTTACTCGGGGACTATTCCGCAGCGGACTTCGCGGAAACCGACAACCAGAACAGCAGCTCAACCAAAAGAGCCGCCCTACGCTCGGAGCTAATAGTATCCATATGCCAGGAACACACAGCATCCGAGCAAGAGGGAGAACATCCGCTAGCCCAATTACTACAGAGTGCGGATGTGATATCGCGAGTTCAGAAAACCGCGATAAACATCGCGAATGCCCTGGACAGCGGAGAAAATAGTAATAGTAATAAAGAGATTACTATAACAACTGACGAAGGATACCAGTTTAAACTCCCGCCGGCATTTGCAATTATGATACAGGACCTCATCTTCCGATGCAGAGAACATGAAAAGAAATGGGAAGTACAAGAATCGCGAAACAGAAATGCGTCTGACCTAACCCAAGTGATGCAAGAAATCGTCCAGACCAACATCAGGGTGCAGGAACACATGGACACCCTCGCAACCAGGATCACGGAACTGGAAAATGCAGGAAGCAAAACTACGCGGCGTGACGATTCGCACAGCTCCAGCGAGGAACCTCGACCGGAAAACACGCGTAGAAGTGTCACATTCC